TGTTACATGTTCTTTTATTTCACATTTACTTTTTAATTTTTTAATTGTACATAAGATCAAACACAAGAATATCATAAAACAATGTTGATAGGGTGCTTACAAAAATATGGTGTAGTTAAAACTAATTAGTAAATAGACCTTTACAATAATTTGTGAGGAATGCGTGTAAATTGAATATGTTTTATATACGTTTAAATTCTCTCTCTCTCTCTCTCTCTCTCTCTCTCTCTCTCTCTCTCTCTTTCTCTCCCTCTATATATATATATTAAAAAAATTAAAAATCTTATATTATATATACATACATATGTACTAGACAAAATTATAAGTAGGGGGACAATGGCCCCACTTATGACAAGGTAGATCCGCCCCTGAAAATAATACATTGTTGCCCAAGACGAGCGTGTGAGCTGCCTCGCAGGCAAGCGCGTCGATCACCCCAGCTGTCATGTACACATGCTATCTGAGGCGGTTATGAGGGTTATTGACCGCTCGGGTGATGCTATGTTGTTTTGTCCGTGTGAGGGTTTAATTCTCTTAAGATTCATTCTTATCATTTAATCCGCTTCATTAGACGGTATAACCATGCATTTGACCCCAATTAACACGGGGTAGAAAGCCACCCATCAGCGAGCCTTGTTGTCCTGTGACTCCTGTCCACCTGGCCGATCAGTCGACGTGGTGCTCTTTCAAGTTGAACATCTCCCAGACCTTCCTGAGACCTCTATTCGACCTATTGGTATCCCTTGCTTCACAAATACCTTCTTCAACCTGAGGGTCTTTCGACCTGTTGGACCCTCGTCCTCGCTCGACCTAACGACCAGCTTGGTTCAGTTCTGTTGTCTTTCCAGTATGGTCGATCAGGTTCGATTATCTCATATCAAGTATATAATTGAAGAGTATGATCAACCAATTCACCGGTTTATTGGAAACCAATTGGTTCAAAGGAATCCAACCGTTTAGTTGACCGATTCTCGATTCAACAACCAGTTTGCCCAGTTTTCAAAACAATAGTAGTTGATACTATTTTTATTTTTATTTTTATTTTTTAAAATTTTATTAACCTCTACAGTAATAGTGTTTGTTTTTATCGACCTCTATAATTACAGTAAAGTTAAATAATTGTTTTTAAATATATTATTGGGTAAATTGCAGTTTTGGTACCCAAACTAAAGTTCAATTCGGAATCAGTACCCGTTTTTTAACATCTACAAAATCAGTACCCAAACTTTTATTCTGTTAGCAACGCTAGTACCCGACCGTTGGATCTCCGTTAAATTTCTGTTAGTTGTTAACGGAAGTAGGCAAAATAGAAGAAAATTTGTATTTTTGTTATTGGAAAATTATTATTCCAAGATATACTGCTTGAACTATAAGAGAAATCATGTCTTCTCATTTTTCAAGATTTATTATAGTTTTTTAAAAAAAAAATCGATTTTATCCAAATTTTTTCTTTTAAATAGTGGAGGCTGCGTTTTTTTTTTTTTGAAAAAAAAATGGTACAAATGTCTTATGTGTATAAATTTCATCATGGACCAAAAAAACAAAAAAAATTCCTCAATTTTGCCTACTTCCGTTAACAACTAACGGAAATTTAACGGAGATCTAACGGCCGAGTACTAACGTTGCTAACAGAATGAAAGTTCGGGTACTAATTTTACAAATGTTAAAAAACGGGTACTGATTCCGAAATGAAATTTAGTTTGGGTATCAAAAAACTGCAATTTATTCTATATTATTTAATTAAAAATAATTTGAAATATAGAAAATATTGTATCATAATTTTTTTTTTTATTTTTGTCTCAAAATTTAATTTTTACTAACAAAGATTGCTATATATATACTCACGACATAAAAATGCCACAAAAAATAGTAAAGAACAAATTTTGCAACATTTTTGACCAAATTTTCAACCTGGTCAATCTTATAGAACTAAATTTGCAGTTTCTTCATTTTTCAACCTAATTACCAATGGCCACGTGACTCGGTTGTGATACCCACTTAATGTTGACGGTTTTGAGACTACTTTTTGCTAATGTTGAGGTTTTGGAACAACTTTTCGTGATTAAAAAAAGTTAATGACTAAATTTAAACCTAGGACTAATTTTGCTATTGGCCAATCTTACATAACTAAATTTCCTCTCACAAATAATTACGTTTTGCATTTGTCCACGTCTGTTAATTGGCCAGACACCCACGTTAGGAAGCTCAATCAACAGTTTTGCTTGGCTTTTGCAACTTATTTGTCCATTAGCGGCGCGCATTTCAAAGAATATTGCTTCAAAAATCTCAGCTAAGGAGCCAATTGTTGGTTTCGTTATCGAGCCAACAACTAAAAGGACAGCTCTATGTAAGGTTGACCCACATTGAAGCCATGTGGGACAGCCCCACATGGAGCTGTTCCATTGGTTGTTGGCTCCGCAACGGAACCAACAATTGCTCTTTAGCATTATACAATCTAAAAAATCTGCATTTATTTTTCCTTCAAAATTGTTTTACAGTTATAATAATATGTAATAAAATATTTATGCAACTGTCTCATAAACAGATTTATGAATAAAATTAACCTTATACCAAACAAAGGTTTTAGGGTGCATTTGAATATTTCTCATAATGTTGATAAATTTCCATATATTATATATTAGTAAGCCATTCTTGAAAATTATTAAAGATCATTGTCTGTACATTTCACTATTAGACAAAGTGTGCCCGGTAATTGACTTGGGCGAGTCAACATGTCAATCATTTATTTATGAGATCAATTTTTAATCTAATATTTAAATTATTTTTTTAAAAAAAAGAAAATTGTGTTTGTACTTTTTTTTATCTTGGAATTACAAATAAGAATAAATTATTTATATGTGAATTTTTTATATCTCAAATTCATAATAATATTTATCATATAAATATATATACATAATTTTTTAAAAATAAAATAAAATTTTTAAAAACTAAACAAAAAATATATTTCATTATTTGATAAAAATGGGTTGACCCGAAATGATCAATATTTAAGTCGCCCAAATCAAGATCGAGTTAATTAACTGTTAAGTCGAATAGAAAGACAATTCAAACAAGTCTCAACTTTAATTCGAGCACTGTTAAAAAAAAATATTGAACTATTATTTATATATGTTTCTATCATATCATCATCATCATTAAGCTGAAAGAAACTGCAGAAAATAGGTGCAGTCCCACTAACATGAAAGATGAGTAGTCCATTAAGCTTATAAGATGAGTCTATTTTCTATGTATGAACGATGTGAGACAACTCATAAGTGATATTCTAAAACGTCTCCTCACTTGTGAGTCTTTAAGAAGCCCAAGCCCAACTGGAGTGGGTGACGGGTACGTCATCCTACAATCCAATTGATAGAAGGAGGAGTAGCCCATTAGACTTATAAAGTTGGTTTATTTTCTATGTATGAATGATGTGAGACAACTCACAAATAATACTCTAACATAAACAATATTGTTTCATCCCAATCTTTTCACCACAAAATTCTTTGTTTTTTCTCTCATAAGAAATCTGCAACACCATTGTCAAGATATCTCTATAAAATATAAATACTTTCTCTAAAAAAATTATAGGATTTGATGATGAATAAAAGACAAATATGCTAAGTTAAAAATTAAAAGTAAAAAAAAAAAAAAAAAAA